AGTGATGAAATGAGACACGGTTTTCTTGAAAGGAAGGAGAGGCCTAGAGAGGAAAAACTTCAGGAGGAAGGAAAAACCTAACTTCGGCAGGGAAGAAGGGAAAAGAGGAAGGGAAGGGGAAAGGTACAAAAAGAAGAGATAGAAAAGAGGGGGAGAAGAGAAGGAGAAGGGAATAAAAGGTTTGTAACCAAGAGAAGGGAAGGGGAAGGGAAGGGCGAAGAAAAATTAGGCAACTCGAAAAGTTTCCTAAAAAAGAAATTTTCAAGCGCAGAAGGGGGAGTGGGAAAGAGTTTTTTTAAAAATAACAATTAATTTTTTAATATATAGTATAACAAAAAATATAATAAAATATATAATCTTATATATTCTATCTTATATAATAATAAATTTAATAATACTATTGATTATAATAAAAAAGCAAAATAATAAAGTATTTGGTTAATTAAAAAGTGATTTAATATTTTTTCTTATATTGAATTTTTTTTTAAAATTAAAGAAAAATTTTATTTTAATTTAATAAAATATTACTTTATTATTAATTATTTAAAAAAATATTCATGCAATAAAATTTATAATAGCAAAACATAAAATATTATTATAAAACTATAGATATAAATCTTATTATAAATATATCTTAAATATTCTTAATTAATAATAAAATAATAAAAATCATATAGTTTTTTTAATTGTAAATAGTTAAGCTAAAGATTGATTTAAAAGAATTTTTTATTTTTTATTACAAATTTTTTATTTATTTATATTTTATTTTTTAAGATTATAAAATTATAATATTCAAGACTAAGAGACTCTTTTTGCTGATCCCTTTGCTAACCCAAAAACAGACGTTCTCAAAAATAATTTTTATTTTTGATAATAAAGTCTATATATTCTCCTTAAAAAACATTACTTTCTAAAGGCAGATGCCTCCCCCACTTGTTTACTTTTCCTTCTTCGAAAAACTTTAGATATTTCAATGACAAAATAAACAAAACTTTACCCATTTGGTCTATGGCAAGAACACCTTACTGGGAAGAAGAAACCTGTTGAAAAATACCCTCCTCTACTTTCTTCAAAGGTTTAGAACTCTAGAAAGTAAACCACTAGTGAATGTATTTCCTAAGCTCCATAAGAACCTTAGGTCCACTGTAAGCGAAAACCTTCTCCTTGAGGCGAGTGGATAAACTAGTTGATGCCTATCAAGTGAATGCATTTCCCAAGTTCCATAAGAACCTTGGGTCCACCATAAGATTCAAAACTCCTGTAGTCCAGGCAGATGGATAAGCTGATAGGAATCTACAGCTCTGCTATATGATCCTCTCTCATCAATCATATATGTTGCATAGTACTTTCAAGTATGTCAAAATTTTCTTGGTTTTTTCTGGAAAATTTTACCTACCTCAGTTTGATCCTGAATTTTTTGTTACATCGGATTCTCTGGTTGGTGATTGGCTAAAATCTAGGATTGGTTGATCAGCATGTAAAAGAAATGTAAACAAGATACGTAGCCACACGTGTCTCGCATCATACCACATTATAACTGATGATATAATTGGATAAAGCGAAAGAGTAAGGTGTCGAGGTGTTCTCTTGTTAAGAAATGTTTAGAAGTTTCCCTCTCCCCTCTTATGCCGGTTTCTTTTCTCCTCAAGATCAAAGAAGGCTCTCATTAGGCTGGTAATTGGTTTTGATAAGGTTTTTATATTACTTGTACAAACTTTTCTCTTTTCCCTTTATCTTTCCCTTTTATCTTCTTAAAAAATATAAAAATTTTATACCTTAGGACCACAGAGGTTAAGTTAGGGTGAACAGTCTTGAGTGAAGGGCTGGCAATGATATGGAAATTCACAAGGAACATGGATCGATATAGAGCAACTTTTTTCATTTCCCTTAATCACATCTAGAGGCTAATGGCTATTGATAGGTATGTTATATAATATTAATAAGTTTAACCTATAGTATAGATTTGTTAGATATTTAATATATCCTATTTGTACCTAGGATTAGTTCAAATCCAAAAAGTGTAAACTTGTTTGAACGCAAATAAACTTGAATTTACGGCCTGATTAGGTGTAAAAAAAAAAAAAAAAAAAAAAAAATAATATTCAAGACTAAAATCTTAATATTTAATTTTAAAATAAAATTATAATATTATTTCTTATAATTATAATATATATAATATTATATAGTAATATTTAATAAATTTATTTTCTTGTGATAATATAGTTAATAAATAATTAAATTATATAAGCAATACAATAATTATAATATTAAGAATTTCAAAATTATATATAAATTTATAAATAATTTATTAATAAATATTTTATTACAACAAAATAATTTGATTTTAATATAATATTATATTATATTTTATATTATGATTTTTTAATTTTAATTCTTTATAACTTTTTGAATAAATTTCATATTCTTTTTAAATATTGTGAATTTTTTTTCTTCAATTTTCAATTTTTAAAATTTGTGTTTTTCAAATATTAAAAAAAGTTATATTTTTTTCTTAAATATTTTTTTTTATTCATTTTTTTTCAAATGGAATCTAATTTTTTTAAATTTAACTTTTCAAATGTTTTTAAATACCAGAGATTTAAATTTTTTAATAATTATTCTAAACAATTGAGTTTATTAAAAATTAATAAAAACATGTCTAACAGTTTAATTAAAGATAAATAAATAAATACAGTATATATACAGTATATATATATATAATAAAAATTTAGCAAGTTAAATAAATTGTTAATTTTATTAATAAAATATTAACTTTTAATAAAATAAAATTTAATAAATTTGAAAAAAATATAACAAATTAAATATCAAATTATTTATAAAATTTATATGCTGATTTAGTCAAAATTTATACTATGTAAATTTAATTGATTTAAATAATTGATAAGTGGTATTATGACAAATAATCTTTTTTCAACTAATACAATCTGGTTGTAAAATGAAAATTTATTATTTATATTTATTTAAACTCAAATGTTTTTATTAAATATTTTTTTTGATTTTTTAATAAAATAAATATTTTAACATATAATTAGAAAGAATAGCAGTTGGCTGACATGTCACATATGATTATTATATATTTGCATACTTATAAAAAAAAATTGATTTGCATATCAAATTTATTAGTAAAAATTCATAAAACATATGATTTTTTTTGGATTTGTGGGCTACTGAAATGTTGTACATGGTTCTTTTTTAAATATAACATTTCTGTAGTTTTTTGTAAACATTCATATAAATTTTGTTTATAGTTAAAAACAAAGTTGAAAATAATCTTGAGCCCGAAGTTGGTGATTGAATACAAATTATACTAATACTTTTTATATTCTGCTGCACCTTTTACAGATCATTGATAAGGTTTCTGAACATGTTTATTACTGTCTTACTGTAAAGAATCAATACTATAAATATGTAAAATAACAAGTTTTTGAACTTTTGTTGGTTTTAAAGTATTCCTGAATACTTATAAATAGAAGCACTATATCTGAATATATTTTACTTTAGATTTGCTAATCTTCAAGGCTTTTGAAACATTGTATAGTTAACTTTTTTTATACCGAACCCTTGGTTCTGATAAAAAAAAAAATTCATTATATAGAATTACTATGTTTTTTAAGAGCCATAGCTCTTGTTATATCGAACTAATATTAAAATTTAGAAAATTTATGTTCGTTATATCCAGGTTTGTTATAAAAAGGTTCGTTATATCCAGAGTTGACTGTATATATGTATATTAATCATATATGATATAAATTATGGAGATCTACCAATCAGCACCTTATGATATAGTTCAAGTACTAGTATTTATTAATCAATTAATTTCTTTAGGTTTAGCGAAATATCTTTGAAAGAGATATTTGCGTGAAAATTTTTTGAATTCTTTTTCTTTTGGTTCTTATGATATTGAGTAATTTGTTTGGACCAGATTCTTATAATTTTAATGTTAAAATTATTTTATTTTTTTTTTATGTATACATATTATTTGTTTTTTTGACTTTATTTTTGTAATTAATATAATAAAACATTAAATAAAATATGATCTCTCAATTATTATTTTTTTGAATTAATAAAAGATCAATATAAATTAGAAATAAGTTATTATTATTAAAAAGAATAAAGCTCAGTTACAATATATTTGTAAATCTTACCTCTTTATATACGATTCTCTTTATTTTATTTTTTTTGAATTTTTAAAGTAGCCCCGGTAAAATATATATCTTCTTAAAGTTCTTAGCCATCATAACCTTCTTAGCCAGTTTTTATTTGCTCAATCCACGTATTTGAAAATAATCCTGAAAAAGAAGTAAAATTTGTTACTACTTTTGAAATGTCACTTATTTAACAAAATGTTGTTCAAAAAAAAACGAATAAACTATAATTTTATAATATAGAAGGTGTAAAACAATTTTTTTAAATATATATATATATATTTACTAATGAAAAGATCCAATTTTTGTATAAAAACGTTTGTTAATTATAATAATATAATTTTAGAAATTATAGTAGATCAATTTCGTGTGACATGTCGGCCGACTGATAGATAATTACTTTAAAGCTTGTGAATTGAGTTATTAAAAATGTTTTTTTTTATTTTGTGTCGAAGAAATTTTTGATTTCTTAGAAATTTCAAACTGAAAATACTAAAAATATCAATTATCTTTTCTCTCTTCCTTTTAACAAAGTTGGAGTCTGTTCTATCAGAAGCCAGTAATTGGCAAATCATTGTCAAGGATGACCAGCTGTTGTTAACAATGAATACCTCTATATTAATTAACGTTAGTCAAGCATTAAATTTATTTTTTAACTTTTAAAAACTTTTTTTCAATAAGTTATTGCACGATTACAATTCTTAATTCTTTCTTATTTGACTAAATTTTAACTATACCTACAAAATTAATTGGCAGTTGTTCATCCATTAATAAAGAAATATTGAACAGAGGTAAAGAGCAGGTGTACTAACAACAATATATCGATAACTTACGCTATCTTTTTTGACGCTTTTTTGATTTTCCTTTTTGATCAACTCTCTTCATCGCCCGTGCCTCTTTTTTCATCCTGGCATCGACCATCTATAATGCACGTATATGATCAGGCATAAAACTTAAATAAAACATCAATGAATAGACGTTAAATACCTTATATCGTCCTTTAACACCTTTCGGTCGTCCTTTTTTACCTTTAGACAGACCTTTAGCAACAACCAACTTCACTTCTTTTTTCATTTTTTTTTGTGATTTACTGATTAATTTCGATATCGTTTGAGCCTTTTCACCTTCAGTCATCTCTGATGTTTCTGCAATGGCGTTAGTTTTCTTTTGCAGTTTAGCAAGTTTCTTAAAGGCCTATCAAATAAATGCATTATTAGTTAAACATATTTTTACGACACCTTTGAGTTAAAAAAAAAAAAAACACTCACCCTAAACTTCTTTTTTGCTTTTGCTTCGGCAACCTTTTTTATTGGTCGAGCATTTAGCGCCTTCATCCTTTCTCTGATTGCTTCAACTGCTTCCTTTGTTATTGGTAAATTGGGCTTGTTATGCTTTCTTTCATCATCCAAGAACCACTCAGGTAATCCTTCACGATCATTGAACGTATATCGTCTGAAGCCATCGTCAATAAGTTCTTGTTTAGTTTTACGTCGATTCACCAGTTGCTGAGCAAGGGTCACTGCCTCTGCAGTAATCAACCCGTTTTCTAAAATGAATTAAAATTAGAAAAAATTTGCAATGCTATCATTATTTCGTTGTTAAAAAAATACTACCTCGTGCTCTTATCATTTTCTTTTCATCCTCGTCGGATTCGTTGGCATCCCACAATTCATCGTTTTTTTCCAGAGGAACTATTTCAACTTCATCTTCTTGATCAATCTTCAATAAAATGAATAAAGTTAAAGAAATCAGAACTTTTATACAATTGCGTAATCATATTAAGAAACCAACCTCATCAGCTTTACGTTTTAGTGAACGCGACTTATCTTCTCCCTCAACGTCTTGCGACTTCGTGTCAACCACTTTTTCATCTGTTTTCATTTTACATTTTAAACCATTATCGCCATTTATGGACTGCTCTGGGTCGTTTTCTTGACCAAAATCTTTAAACAACGGCTGATCAAAAAATACGGCCGCTTTTTTGCTTAAATCACCAGGTATCTTGATGTTTTCGACGTCCTTTTTGTCTTCAGTTAAATCAGTTAACAATCTTTTCTTTTTTTTTGTTAATCCATTCGCTTTTATCTTATTTTTATCTTCTTCATGCTCGGTATCACTGTCACTAGATGAGGAATACTCATCGCTTTGTGACATTACATTTTCTTCAGTATCACTATCATCTTTAAAACCGTTACTCTGGACATCATCTTGATCATTTTCTTGCGCCCTGAGTTTTTTTACCCTATATTTTGCATCACGTTCTGCTTTGCGCTCTTGATATTGTTCATATCTAAAAATTTTGATATCAAATTAGTCTTACCCTTAACAGGAATCTTCAATTTATAAAAAGAAAATTTTATACAATTCGTCTAATTCCTTCTCTAAGTGAGTTATGTCATCGTCATTCTCATTTACACTTTCCGTATCTTCATGTTGGTCAATGAACATATATTCATTTTTTTCGTCATCTTGATCAAGAATAATATCCATATTTCCTTTACGCATCTTACTCAATATCTACAAATAATATTGTTAGCAGGCATTTCACACAAGTATATAAATATGTACTAATTATTAAAAATAAAGAATTACCCCATTCTTATCTACTTTTTTCAAATCAAACAGTGAATTATCATCTAACACGATATCAGTAGGCGATATCATTTTCAGTTGCATGCGTGTAACATTTTTCTGTCGCTTTTCGTTGATCTTTCTACGAAGTTGCTTGCGACGAGTTTGTTCTTCCTGGACGAGCCTATCCAACTAATTGTAAATACATATAAAAATTTAAAACCGAATGTACAATATAATATATCTCAACAGTAACGCGTTTATACCTCTTCTTGAATAGCCTCATCTTCATCAATTTTCTCATTTTCATTAATTTTCTCCTCTTCAGTAGTTTCTTTCACATCTTCCTTAGCCGGTTCCTTCAACTTGGAAAAGCAATCAAAAAAAGCAGTTTTGATTGAGCTACATTTGTATTTTCGGAAACACTAATCACAATTTCACTCACCGATTCTATAATATTCTTTCTCCACTTCAAAAGACTTTTAAATTCTCTTTTTCCTAAAACCTTTAAATCCTCACAACACGCCTTAATTTCTTCTGTTGTTGACTCATGATTTAATAATCTGTAGTAAGCAATAGATATAGTTAAACAGATTAGCATCGTCCAATTATCATACTAATTCAATGAAACAAGGTAATATATTCTTGAAATTGACTTATGGGCTTCATCAGTATCAAATTTTAATTTACTAGTAGAACCAAGAATCTTAACTGGGTCATCCGAGTTAATGAATTCAAATATGGAGGATTCCTTGTATAAAGTGTAGACTCCATCCTCGTAACCTTCTCTGTTTCTTTTATTTTTCCCTGGTTCTAAGACAGATTTACTCGTAGGTCCAATATCAACATCCTGAAAGACTGATCGAGAATCAAGAAATTTAGGATCAATTTTTTTAGGAGCGAGATAATCGCGGCAAATCACATAGATTTCCGCAGAAACATTCCTTGAAATTATCAAAGTAGTATAAATGTAAGCCAAAAGAATTTGAATTCAATGGTAATCAAAATTTTTAATTTCGCACACCTAGAAGAGGCCGGCTTCGTAGCTTCTACCTTTTTGAAAAGTTGATTAAATACCCATATTAGATTATTATAATCTTTTGATCGGAAAATTTTGGTTATAAAGGTGCCTATTTAAATAAAAGAGTAGGAACTTAGAAGAGAACTTCTTTGAATAACGCCATGATATCATGATTTTATAATTACCTCCTTCGTTTAGAAATTCTACGGCCAATTTCAAAGCTTTCAGCGTCAGTTCGGATTGGGAAAAAGCGTCTTGTGCCCATGAAATACCAACATTGGGCGCACCATCGTGAAGAAACCTTATAAAACGTACTTATTAATAAATCAAATAAAAACAATTAGAGGCGTAAAAACACTATATAGAAAATATTTCCTACACATCAGCCTTCCAAGATTTTAATTCATTTCGAAGCCTGGCTCGACATTTATCAGTAGTTATATCTTCTTGGAGTGTTATAACCTTCGGAATCGGTTTGATGGGAACAAGATCGACACCTTTTATAAGATCGATACATTTAATATAGATAAATATCTTTCAAAGTATATGTCATAATTCGTTTCGAATGACATTACCTATGATCAGACTCGACACTGGCATGTATTTGCTTGCAACTTGTAGCCTTAAGTTATTATTTTTTTTTGTTAGTTTTAATAATAATTAAGATAACATTGACGTGTACCTACCATCCACCAGGAGCCGCACATAAATCTATTAAACATCGAGATTTCTCCAAAAAATTATATTTTTTGTTCAACTGGATAAGCTTAAATGCCGAACGCGCACGATAACCTTGTTCTTTGGCTAAGTGATAATACTTATCCAACCGTCCTAAAAGTAAATATTATAATTAAAACTATGAATTGACTTTCACCATCAACACTTATTTATGACCCGAACCTTTTGCGGTTTTTTTATCTTTTTTTCCCATTTTCTGGTGATCTAAGTAAAGTGTTGGGAAAAGTACTTTGATAATCGGCTTTAGTTCCACAAGATCGGATTGACACTATTGCTGATCACGATCCGTGTCATTAGTAATAATTAATTACAATACGTAATTTAAACCAATCAAGCTTTAATTTTCATTGAAGTAAAATACTTTCAAGAAAATGTGTCTTGAAACTTTATGCTTAAAGATTTCTAATCAAAAAGAATATTGATTTTTTTTAATTGTTACTTTTCTTTTAAGTTATATCTTTTTGAAATTATTGTTTTATTTATTAAATAGTTTTAAGATTTTTTTCTCAAAATAAAATATTATTGTTTCGGTAGACACACTAAACATTAGGGAACAACAAATTAACTTGAATTCCAGAATGGCAAGTATTGACGATACATTCCAGAGCATCGTCGGCACATTGAATCAACTAATAGATAATACAACAACCACCCCCCACCAATCAGACACCGATGAATATTAAAAGGAAAAAAGAAGCACCATACAATAACACACCATCCCTCCCAACAGAACAAACAAAAACAACACATACCGATATACAACCACCTCTCAAAACAACAATCAAATAGAAACTATTAACACACAATGTAAGAGGAATCAACGATCCAACCAAAAGACACACAATATTTACATATTGCGCCGCAAGGGATACTGACATAGCAGTACTCACAGAGACACAAATACAAAATGAAAACTGCAAACATTGGAAACACCCAAGCTACGATATTTTCTGGAGCAATAATAACAAAGGAGCGGGAATTGCCATAATGATCAAAAAAGAATTAAGTAAGCATATAGGCAAGATAAGAAAATACCCGGGTAGAGGAATATGCATAGACCTCCAGTTCAAGGGAAAGAAACACATTGGTATTATAGGAGTCTATATACCAGCAGCAGATGGACGGGAAAAAAGAGAAGTCAACAAGTGGATAGAAGAGGAAACTCTCAGCAGACATGGAAAAAACTGGAACACAATAATACTGGGAGACTTCAACTCAGTAATGAATCCACAAGTCGACCATAGATCATCTTCCAACAGGAAACAAAGGACACAGCTTCCGACCTCCACAGCACTACGAATCCTAGAGAACCTAAACTATATAGACTGCTACAGGACACTTAACCCCATCAATCCAGGATACACCTGGCAAAACTCCAGAAAAACAATGTCAAGATTAGATTACATCTGGATCTCAAATCACAAGGATTGGTATCCAACAGAAACAAAAATCAGTGCGGCAGCAATGGTATCAAATAGTGACCATGCTATAATCCAAACCAGCATCTTACTTCCCAACATGGGTATAATTCCAAAAAACCCTACAAGAGGACAAACAGAAACCAGGTACACCACAGTAGGAACAACCTCAGAAAACTGAAAAAAGTTCTGTGAAGAGATCCACCACATCCTACAACAACAGGAAACACATACAAATCCAAAAATCTTATCACCTGACAAGCTCTGGAACCTAACATGGGATGCCATCAGCAAGGCACGCTCCAAACATATCACTAAAATCAAAATCAGCAGAAACAAGGAAAGGGTCAATCCCAAAGATATTCCCTCAGAAGAAAAGAAATCAATAGAAATCAGAAAACTATATAGCAAAGGCAAACAATACTTCAAACACAACATACGGTCAACAGATCTGATAGAAAGCATTCACAGATCAATCCAAAAAATAAATCAAGAAGCGGAATTAGTTAGTGAACCACCATGGGATGAACCGAACCATCATACACCAGCAGCAAAAGAATGGCTAGAAGCAATCAAACATGTTTGGAAAATGATATATAAGAGTTTCGCCGCTTTAACAAACAAAAGAATACAGGAGAAGATACAGAAAAACACAGAAGAAAGATTCATTCACCTCTCTACAAACAAGAAGAAGATGATAAACTCCATCCTCCAAAAAGACAGAAACAGCATTACGCTGGATAAACTGATCATTCATGAAGATCCCTTTACAGTCGTTACAGAGCCGACGGAGATTAAAAAGAGGGTAACAGAGCACTTCCAAAGATCCCCAGATCAAATGCCACCACAGGAAGAGAACTGGAACATATGGAGACAAGAGTACCAACCCAACTCAGAAATCAGAGCAAGCTGGTACGATACATGCACCCAGGAAATCACGTACACAGAAGTTGAAAACACAATCAAAAAGTCAAAATCAGAATCAGCACCAGGGAAATCACAAATAAACTATGCAACACTTAAACACCTTGGCCCAAAGGGAATAGGAAGACTCACAACTCTCTTTAATCACATTCTTCAAACTAAAGAAATACCGAAGAAATGGCAACACAACCTACTATATCCAATTCCGAAGAACTCGGACTGGCAACACGACCTCAATCAAACCAGACCCATCGCACTCCTGGAAACAGTAAAAAAGACCTTTACGAAAATAATCAATAACAGATTAGCAGGAATTCTATCACGACATCAAATCCTGTCACCCCTCAACTGGGCAGGGCTTCCTGGAGGTGGCACACATGAACCAATCATCATCATCAACC